AGGAGAATTGCCTGAACCCAGGAGGCGGAGGTTGCAGTGAGCCGAGATCGCGCCATTGCACTCCAGCCTGGGTAACATGAGTGAAACTCTGTCTCCAAAAAAAAAAAAAAAACTAGCACTATGCTCCATTAGTCAGACTATCTGATGATAACGGTGATCATAGGTACCCATGCGCCTTTTTGTTGATCTTCACAACACTCCCGTGAAGTACTATCCTGTTTTCGACAGGAGATAGCAAAGTATCAGAGAAGGGAACTGACCTGTCTAGAGTCACACTAGTGCAAGCAAGCGATACAGGATTTAAATTCAGAGGTCCTATTTTCCAAACTCATGTCCTTTCCATTGCATTGTACTCCCTCTTTAGCTAGAAGTCAGGTTAGCACCAATCTGCCAGGACCTCCTCACTCTGAAGGTGTGTGATAAAATCAGGTTTGAGAACCAACAAAGCCAAGGACCAGGTCACTCTGCCAAAAGTGCCTAAAACAGCCTTTCAGCTTCACTCATCAGCAGAGAGCCACAAAACCACTCCCAAATGCAGCAGGCTGGTCTCCAGTCACCACTGTCTTCTAACCTTGTTGGAAAACATCCTCCTCCTATCTGCCAAAAAGTTGAGTGGGAAAGTAATTCCATCCCTTCAGGGCTAAACACTGTGCTGAATCTCATCACACACTGGTGGGTGAATAAAGCTGCCATTTACTGCTCACCCACTGTGTGCCTACCCCTGTGCAAGACGCTTTATGCTAGAACTCATTTAATTCTCAAGAACAACCTCTTTTTACAGGAAAGGATACAGAGGCCCTAAGAGTTAAACTAATTTGCTCAAGAGGATACGCTAAGTGCCAGTGCAGAGAACAAATTTAAGTCTGACTCTAAAATCTGTGCTCTTTCCAGATCTCAAGGCACATCACTGAGTTGCCTTTCACCTTTCTCCCAAGGTGAGGTTTGCTCTGTCACGACTTCACCTTTCTCTTCTGAAGCAATCCCGAGTTCACTTCTCTGCCCACTGACAGTTCACTCTCCCTTCCCTGACACTGTCCCTTCTGCCAACCCACAATCTTTTACCCAGTCTAACGCCCCCAGCCTCGTAGAATAACACTGCGCAATTGGTTTACAGTCAGAAATAACTTTCAGCAGTGTTTCGTCTCCTGGCCACCACAATCAGGTGAAGCCGGTAAAGCAAGTAAAAGCATCCCCATTTTACAAGAAAGGCATCTTCCCAAGCTCTCGTATTAAAAAGCAGGTGAAATCGGGAGCAGAGCCCCACGTCTTGACCCCTGGTCCTCTGCTCATCCCACTGCTCCTCACTGATGCCTGCGACCCAGCCTTCACCCCCGCGATGTCACAAGATGCTCGGTGGGCCAGCAGCTCACTTCCCCGCCTCGCCCACGACCACCCACCTGCAGCTGTGGCGAAGGCCCCGCCGACCCCTCCCCCACGACCCTTATCTTTTTACCAGCCCCTCCCTCTGGAGCCTCCTTCCCCCGCCAGATCCCAACCCTCAGGCGCCCCCTCCCGCACACACTGCCCGCGATCCCTGTCTCGGCCTCCCGTAGACCCTCATCCAGCCTCCCCCCTTTGCCGCCCCAGCCCCTCCTCCTGTCAGCCCGCGGCCGAGCCCGCCGACGTTACCTTCTCCAAGGATGCTGGTCTCTGCACCGCCAGGGAGCGGGCCAGGGACAGGACCGTGTTGAAATAGAAACCCCGCGAAGCGCTGGAGCCGGAGCCGGAGCCGGAGCCGGAGCAGCCGCCTCCCCGGGCCGCGGCCGCCGCCATCACCTCACGCGCCGCGCCGCTGCCCGCCGGCTCCCTGCTCCCGGCCCGCGAGCGCCCAACCTCAGGGCGCAGGCGCAGCCGCATCCGGCTTTCCCGCCACGTGACCTCTCAGTTGCAGACACTATGTAGGGCGTGGCTGCGGGGCGGGCCCACCGCTGCAGGGGAGAGAGGGGATGGGCAGAGGCTTGGTTGCGCGCGCCGGAGGTCCCCCCAGCCGACCTACGAGATGGTCGGCTCCGAGGGCGGGGCCACCTGCGCGCAACGCGCGGAAGGAGTTCGCGCTGCCACTGCAGGGTCGGCGGGCGGGGCGACGCCCTAGACGGCGGTCGTGGCGCTGCTTCTTCTCCTTTCTGGACGGTGAGCCGCGCCGGCACCATGTCGGCCTACCCCAAAAGCTACAATCCGTTCGACGATGACGGGGAGGACGAAGGCGCCCGGCCAGCCCGGTGGAGGGACGCCCGGGACCTCCCCGACGAGCCCGACGAGCCCGCGGACAGGCAGCAGTACCTGCGGCAGGAGGTGCTGCGCAGGGCTGAGGCCACGGCCGCCAGTACCAGCAGGTCCCTGACCCTCATGTACGAGTCCGAGAAGGTTGGGGTCGCCTCTTCCGAGGTGAGCCTGGGGCAGGGCTGGTGTGGACACGCTGGTCTCTGCGTTGTCAGACGGAGACGAGAAATGTTTTGCTCACGATCTTTTGAGAATTCTCGAGTTGCCTGGCATAGATTCTTGCACCTTAGTGACTCAATGGCGTGTAACAATCTGTTAACTATGTAAAGGCATGTGCATCTGGAGTACTTGAAGAGGGCAGTTTACCCCAGAAATCTTCCTTAGCTATTAGTCTACTTAGTTGATTTTTTTTCTTACGCCTAGTTCACAGGTAAACTCCAGATTATTTTCTGTCCAGGTGAGTAAAAATTCTGAACAGCAGGGCCTGGGTTATGGAAATGGAGAGTCCATTTCTTCGACATTATTTTCTGGGCAAAAGTCCTGTACGAGGTTTTGGCTGTTCTTCCGGGAGTGAGCCAGTGACCCTGTGCCTGCAAGTGTCAGGTGATACCTTGAAGAATCGGAGCAAGTGGTCCACAGGTTCTTCCCGCATCATTGACCACATCTTCACCTAACCAGTAGAGGTATTGAAGTCCCGTCTACCCAGACAGCTGCGGAGTTGGCTAAAACCTGAATTTGGTTGAGTCCATGGCCTTACCTTTACTTCCGAAATCCTAGACACATAGTGTGTGGGTTAAGAGTCTGTTGCTGCAACTCATCTTAATCAGTTCTTTCTAGCTTTAGATTTCAGAGAGTAGTACCTTCAATGACAATTTTTTTTTTTTTTTCTTTTTGAGATAGGGTCTCCATCTGTCACCCAGGCTGGAGTGCAGTGGTGCGATCTCAGCTCACTGCAACCTCCGCTTCTCGGGTTCAAACAATTCTCCTGCCTCAGCCTCCCAAGTAGCTGGGACTACAGGCAGGCATCACCACACCCGGCTAAATTTTTTTGTATTTTTGGTGGAAGTGGGGTTTCTCCATATTGCCCAGGCTGGCCTCGAACTCCTGACCTCATGTAATCCGCCCACCTCAACCTCCCAAAATGCTGAGATTACAGGCGTGAGTTGAGAATTATTCTTTATTTACACACCACATTCTCCCTTCAGCCTACTAATGAAACAGTTTTATTTGGACAGAGAAAAAAAAAGTTTAAAAAAATATAATAAGCCAGGCACGGTTGCACTTCTGCAATCCCAACAATTTGTGAGGCCGAGGTAGGCAGATCACTTGAGCCCGGGAGTTCAAGACCAGCAAATGAAACTCCGTCTCTACAAAATTTAAAAATTAGCCAGGCATGAAGGTACGCGTCTGTGGTTGCAGCTACTCAGGAGGCTGGGGCATAGGATGGCTTGAGCACAGGATGTCAGGCCTGCAGTGAGCCATGTTCATACCACTGCACTCCAGCTTGGGCGACCGAGCAAGACCCTGTCATTTCCCCTTGCTCTTTTCTTGGGTTACTTCCCTTTCCCACCACTCTCTGTTAATGTATCCCTCATTGATTCACCTCCCTGTGTTTAGTGTTTAACCATTGTTGGGTTTTTTTTGTTTTTTTTTTTTTTAGATGGAGTTTCACTCTTGTTGCCCAGGTTGGAGTGCAGTGGTGTGAACTCAGTGCACTGCAACCTCTGCCTCCCAGGTTCAAGTGATTCTCCTGCCTCAGCCTCCCGAGTAGCTGGGGTCTGCTACCACACCCAGCTAATTTTTTGTATTTTTAGTAGAGATGTGGTTTCACCATGTTGGCCAGGCTGGTCTTGAACTCCTGACCTCAGGTGATTCATCCGCTTTGGCTTCCCAAAGTGCTGGGATTACAGGCGTGAGCCACTGTGCCTGGCCTTTTTTTTTTTTTTTTTTAAGACAAAGTCTTATTCTATTGCCCAGGCTGGAGTGCAGTGGCATGATCTTGGCTCACTGCAACCTCCACCTCCCCGGTTCCAACTATTCTCCTGCCTCAACCTCCCGAGTAGCTGGGATGACAGGCACCTGCCACCATGCCTGGCTAATTTTTGTATTTTTAGTAGAGACGGGATTCCGCCATGTTGGCCAGGCTGGTTTCAAACTCCTGACCTCAGGTGATCCACCCACCTCAGCTTCCCGAAGTGCTGGGAAGACATGAGCCACCGTACCTGGTCCTAACCTTGTTGAGGAGATTTTGTTTGTAGTTCTTAAATTTCATACCTACGGGATTCCTCTGTTCCATTCTAAATGGGAAGTCCTGACTTAGATTTTGGAGGGTTGCCTGAGATTTTAGGGCCTTGGTGAATGGGTCATCTGATTAAGGATCACAAGCCCAAGCAAGTCAACTAAGAGCTATTTGAGGAGACATCTTTGTAAACCGAGAACAAATGAAGCAGGAAATCAGAATGGTTCAAAGTAGGGCATCGTGGCGGAGGATGAACTTGAATCTAGCTTTTATGGCTGAGGTTTACACAAGAAGAGTGAGAATGAGGGATGTTCTTAGGGAAGACAGGTGAATATGCAAACACACTGGCCCAGCAGCAGAGCTCCTGGGTGCAGAGGAGGCAAGTGATGAACTGGGTGTGTTAAAGGACAGGTGGTAGAGGAGGTAGCTTAGAAGCCCTTGGAGTTCAGAGGGAAAGTTCTGGTCTCATAACTCAGGAGAGGCAAAAACATAGCAGGTGGGAGTTGTTTGATATAGATTGTGATGACATGCCCCATGCTGCTCTCAAAGGTCTTTCTATGCAGTGGGGACTGTGAGAGCAGAGGCAGAATGGCACCTCAGGCATATCAGGCTTGGCCAGGCCAGGCATTGCTGTGAGAGGTACAGTGTGGTCATAACTGGGCAGGTGACAGGTGCTTTTGTCATTGAGACGACCCGTTGGAATTTTCCAGGATTGGATCAGTTCTCAATTATGAGAGGCCCTGGGAGTCAGGAATGACCTGCATCCCCACCCCACCTGGTAGTTTTTTGTCTTTTGATTTGGGGAGGTTTTTTGAGATGGGATCCCACTCTGTCACCCAGGTGCGATCTTGGCTCACTGCAGCCTCTGCCTCTAGGTTCAAGTGATCCTCCTGCCTCAGCCTCCCAAGTAGCTGGGACCACAGGTGCACACCACCATACTCGACTAATTTTTGGTATTTTTGATGGAGAGGAGATTTGCCATGTTGCCCAGGCTAGTCTCGAACTCTTGAACTCAAATCATCTGCGTACCTCGGCCTCCCAGTGCTGGATTAGAGGCCTCCAAGCTGTCTGGCCTCCAGGCTGTCTTTGAATAGCTCTAATCACTCTTTCATTCCCTTTGGTGTTGGGATGGGGGCAGGGAGTATGAGCTCTTCCAGCCCTCAGTGCACAAAGTGGCTTGCAGCAGATTCCAGTGTACCCCGCTAACCACCCCACTTAGACGGGTGCCTCCTGGGTAGCCAGCACTGTGAAACATGCCAACACAGGACAGATTTATGTCGGAGATGAGGACTTTACAAATAGTATTAGTTTGGGAGGATCATAATTCAGTCCCAGCTTGGCAGGAAAATGACTTAGTTAAGTCACCTCTAGCGAAGGGAACGGCCGTTCTCCTACTGTGAAACCTGGCAAGGTTTGTTTCTCACAAAGGCTCAGGCCACAGGCCATGACCACAAAAGAACAGAGAAGTAGCCTGAGCAGGGCAGGTCCCACCGGGCTGACCTGGTAGGTGCTTTATAGAACTACAGGGAGACCTGTAAGCCACCCATCTCTTTCTCTATTTGGTAAGCATGATTTCT